CCATCTCCTGGCCAATTACCCCGTCAGATCCTGCCGCTACTGCAACAAACTTGGTCCTGGTCATCTGCAACAGGATTGTTTTCGCAATCCATCTCGCTCATCCTCCAATAGCCACTCCTCTCGCGGTGGCTCTTCCCGGGGAAGTTTTCATCGTTCCGGCAACCAGTCTCATCACACTGCTACTTCTGCTTCCGGTTCATCCTCTCTGCCACTCCATTGTGTTGTGGGGTGCCGGGAACTGTTGTCTCATGTCGGATAGCTCTGCTGGCACAATATGCTTCAAAAACATTAGAAGTTTACTCGCCACCATTGTCTGTGCGAAGACACTTCAACTTCTTTCCGGTCTCTCTTTTCACCATTGCATAGAACTCCTGAAAGTGCTGAAATACTTCATCCTTCATTTTCAAGAAATACACCCACAACTTCCTTGATACATCATCAATGAAGGTCAAAAAATACTTGCTGCCACCAAGTGACTCCACTTTGATTGGGCCACAAACATCCGAGTATACCATACTGAGCACTTCTATTTTCCTCTTGCTCATTGAACTGAATAATACTCGATGTTGCTTGCCATAAAGGCAATGATCACACGGCTTCAGGGCATTCCCTTTAGATAAGGGTATCTTGGATTACTTTGCCAACAGATGCAATCCCTTCTCACTCATTTGAGCCAGTCTTCTATGCCATAAGTCTGGTGACTCCTTGTCTTTTGTTGCATTAAGACTTCCCAGACAGATCTTCGTTTGAGTCTTGTACAGTGTTAAAAACGTCTCTTCTCTGGCGATTGTCAAAGCTCCTCCTGTTAGCTTCTAATGGCCATTTCTGAATGTACTTGTATAGCCTTGTCGGTCCAGGGCGCTTCTGGAGATAAGATTGTGGCGCAAATTGGGAACATGCCTCACATCCGTGAGAACCAGCTTGTGTCCAACATTAGTCTGAATACTAATGTCTCCAATGCCCACAATCTTGGAATAGCTAGAATTTTCCATTCGAATGGTGCCAAAATTTCCACCGTTGTACGAGCTGAAGAGTTCTCTGTGGGAAGTGGCGTATTAAGATGTAGCTGTGTCTATCACCCACTCTGTACAGCTGTGGTCAGCCACGTGAAGGCAATCCTCCTCTTCACCAACTGTAAGAAGTATTTCATCAATTGTTGTGGCTGTCGTGTTCTCATCTCCCTTTGACTTACTACTTTGGCCTTTATCTTTCCGGCTTGGATAGTTCTTCTTTATGTGACCCTCCTGGCCATAGTGAAAGCAAGTGAAGCTAGAGTTATCTTGACTTTTACTGTCATTGGATTTACTCATGTTGTTCTATCTACCTCTACTCTTGTTTCTTCCTCTACACCTGTCTCTGCCTCTATCTTCTGTGACAAGAGCATGGGATTGATTACCTCCCATGTCTTTCCTCCTTGTTTCTTCATTGTACATGGCGTCTGTGACCATGCTCATGGTCAGTTTCCCCTCTGGTGTAGAGTTACTGAGAGAAACCACCAATGTCTCCCAACTGTCCGATAAAGAACTAAGTAGTAGAACGGCTTGCATTTCATCATTCAAGGGCATCTGGACGGTTGCAAGTTGATTCACCAGATTCTTGAATTCACTGGTGTGCTCGGCAGCAAACACACCATTCTTCAACTTCAGATTTACAAGCCTTCTCATCACTAAGGCTTTGTTCCGGGCAGTCTTAGACTGGTATATTCCTTCTAACATTGTCCAGAGGACATATGCATTTGTTTCCTGGGCAACATGGTGGAACACACTGTGGTCTATCCATTATCTGATACAACTGATAGTCTTCCGATTCATCTTTATCCAGTATTCATCTTTCACTTCTTCTATTTTAACACCTTTTAGAGCAATAGAGTCAAACAGGTCTTTATAATATAGGATGTCTTCCATCTACGGCTTCTAGATTGCATAATTGGAAGGATTCAACTTGATCATGGATCCTGAAGTTGATGTGAATTCCTCCATCATCTTCTTATTTTTACAGAAACTCTGATTCAAAAATCTGACCATACGGATTGCTCCGAAATACTCTAAATAGTTGGAAACCACTATTAGATCACCAAAATCAGACTTCAAATGGCTTAGATCTAGCCAAAATATATTCAACGGTTTAGATCTACAGATGAACTACAGTCGCGTAGCACCGGATAACTTCTCCGTTCTAGGTTTGGTCAAGCCGACAGGTAGTGGACACGTGTCACTGACATGGCAGACGCGTGTCACTGACGTGGCAGACACGTGCGCTGACTTGACAAACATGTGGCGTTGATGTGTCGGTGACGTGGCGCTGACATGGTAGTGATGTGGCGATGACATGTTGCTAGCGTGGAGATGACGTCAATATCACACGCGGATCAGTCGCCTTCTTCCTTCCGTCGCACGTGGGGCGCGTGTATGCGACTGGAATGACGCGCCGATACACTAAACGGCACGTATGGAGCATGTTTGAGACAAGGACTCACGCGCCTTCTTCATGTGATGCGTGAGGGCGCGTTGAGGCTCGTCAGGGACTCTGCTTTATAGTTCTAGACTCCTCTCACCGAGAACTTCCTCCCGGTATGCTCAAAAATGAATTTTGACCAACTCGATTTCTGGGCAATTCTGAAAAAAAAAAACACCTTTTTTTCTGAAAATCGACTAACATGGCTCTGATACCGCTTGTTAGGATTAAGGTACTCCAGAAATCAATCACACGCAATAACACAAGAGATTTACGTGGTTTGGCAAAAGCCTACATCCACGGGAGAGATATCACTGTAGAATTATCTCGGAGGGAGTTTATAACACTCACACCTCACTCTCTCTCTATAGCACTCTCACTCTCTTAAAGAGATTATACCCTCTGTGTTTGTTGCCTCTATCTGTGTGTTATGTTTTCCTTCCTCCTCACCTCAATTTATACAGAAAAGAGAAGGAAACAAAGTCAAGGAAGGGGAGTTATTGGGCTGGCTGCCACTTGTTATCTCCCCTCCTACTTCTTGACTTGGAGCAAACCTACCAACCTCCAATTACACCTCCATGTGGACTGGAGCAGCTAACAAAAACAATTTCACAGCTAGTTGAGTTACCATGCAATAAAGAATCTGATTTCTTAAATGTTCAAGGAAATGAAAGGCTAGACTTAAATTCATCTAAAATTAGAAGAATTTAGAGGTAACATGTAACATATAAAGGTAAAAGTATGAGATAAATAATGACTGCTACAACAATTTGGGTAAACATCAAAAAGATTTACAATTGCAGACACAAGATTATGATTCAATTTGGTGTAGACTCAAGACAACCAAATACTAATGGGAGATTATGCTCATAAGCATCATTATAGCCCCACATTGAATGATCTTTTGGACTTTGATAAATTCCCTTGCAGAAGTATAAAAAAGGCCTTAAATAGGATTAAATGATGCGTATTAGTGACAAGCTCTCTTTTTTCATAACTTCATGAGTAAAAAACAGAAATTTCTCATTTGGTGTTGCGGTGTCAAAGTTCAACCCACACAAGACCAATTGAGGAGGGAGAAGCAGTGAGTTCTCAATGAGCATAAGTAAAGGAATTTGATGATAGTACATAATTTAAAATGTCAAAGATAAACATAAATATGCTTAAGTTCATATAAATAATGCAATGTTCCATTTTGATCAAAGGAAATAATGGAGAAGAAAAAACAAATTGATTCCAAAAAAGAAAAAGCTAATCTACACAAGATTGAACCAAAGATAACTACCTGCTTTATTTCACAGTTGGACCACAAGCAACATAACATATAAGACAATTTTATTTGCTTTATTTTCCCTCAATCTTCCTTTCAACCAATCAAGATCAGCAAAAATTTAGCTCAAGTTCTAAAGACACTACAAGAAAAAACACTTTCCGTGACCAACATTTTGGTCACGAAAAGTACCATATTTGGTCGCTAAAACCTTTTCGCGACCAAAATATGTTGGTCGCGAGTTGGTCGCTAAAGCCTCGTCACAGATAGTTTTCTGCGACCAAAAAAGCCTTTGGTCGCTAAAAGTGACCATTCGCGACCAACTTTTTTGGTCGCGGAAAGTCCAATTCATATTAGCCAAAAGTAAACTTTTAGCGACAAAAGATAAGTTGGTCGCTAAAAGTAAGCGCCTTGACCCAAAAAAAATAATTCTTTTGTGCTCCCTGGGACTTGAACTCCTGACCAAGGAGTCAGCATGCACCCAATCCACTCTGCCACTCTGCCAATAACATACTTCTTGTTCATATTTGGCAAAAAAAATATATAACCCATAAAAATTGGGTTATATATTATTTTATAAAACTTTTAATGCCTCAATAGAAAAATAGCATGTAATTACTATAGTTTCATTTTTTAAAAAATTTATCCCGCCATAACTTTCCGCGACCAACTTTTTTTTTGAGTCGCCAAAGGGTAATCTTCCGCGACAAAAAAAGCCTCTGGTCGCCAATAGTAGACTTTTCGCGACCAACTTTTTTTTTTTGGTCTCCAAAAGGTGATCTTCCGAGACCAAAAAAGCCTTTGGTCGCCAATAGCATACTTTCCGCGACCAACTTTTTTTTTTGGTCGCCAAAGGGTAATCTTCCGCGACTAAAAAAGCCTTTGGTCGCCAATAGTATACTTTCTGCGACCAACTTTTTTTTTTGGTCGCCAAAGGGTATACTTTCCGTGACCAACTTTTTTTTTGGTCGCCAAAAGGTGATCTTCCATGACCAAAAAAGCCTTTGGTAGCCAATAGTATACTTTCCGCGACCAACTTTTTTTTTTGGTCGCCAAAAGGTGATTTTCTGCGACCAAAAAATTGTGATTTTGGCGACCAAAAAATTGTGGTCGCCAAAAGTTAAATTTTAGTCGCAGAAAGTGGACTATTTGCGACCAAAAAAAATAGATGGTCGCCAAAAGTGTTTTTTCTTGTAGTAGTGAGACTACCATTTCAAATTTATCAATCACATACTTCACAGAATTTACAAATCAAATTGTCATGAATTTACAGCTTTCAATTGTAGTACGCATCAAACAATTGAGACTGACAATATAACAAAATTAATCACAAATATGAAAGAACATCAGTTTAACATGTTCCAAAAATTCCAAGATGTCCATATACCCACAAACTTGTAGCAAACCTGTTTCAATCTTACTTCATATACAGCAATCAATTTATATACATGTAGCAAACTTGTAGTTGTATATACATAAACAAACAATAATAGACTTGTAGTACGCATCAAACAATTGAGACTGACAATATAACAAAATTAATCACAAATATGAAAGAACATCAGTTTAACATGTTCCAAAAATTCCAAGATGTCCATATACCCACAAACTTGTAGCAAACCTGTTTCAATCTTACTTCATCTAGAGCAATCAATTTATATACATGCATGCATACATACATAAGTAGTTGTATATACATAAACAAACAATAATAGACTCACAAACTTAAATAGTTTCACCCAAATGTTGCTTCATTTTATTTTACTAAAAGAAAAGACAGAAATTCTTCCATAACAGCACACCCATTTCATATCCAACAACATTTGATCCAATTAACGAAGTAAAAACACCCAATTTGTGGAAATATTAAAAACCAGCAACAGCAGAAGAAGAAGCATGTATTGACATAATCAACAAAAAATAAAAAATAAATTTATAAATTTGCAGAAGAAAGAACAAATCCAAAGTTAAATACACAAAGTTTATGCAAGGTTAATGCAAAAATGTCTTCCTTGTATCGTATTGAAGAACAATAAAGATAACAAACAAAACGGGTTATTTGTACCTGATTGAAGAACAATAGAGACGGCAAACAAAATGGGTCATTTCTAAAACCAAAGACACTCAGAAATTGAGAGAAGCATGACAAGCAAAATAGCGTGTACAGCTTTTGAAAGCTTGTAAACCAAACACTGATACCATAAACTATAATATAGTGATATGAATAAGTTCTAAAAATTTATCCTAATAATCTAAATTTAAGAACATAGTATCATTGCGGACTACATTCTAAGAAGCCGTGGTACGTTCAAAATGAAGTAACAGCACTTGCCTAAATTCATTGAATAAATGAGAAAATTCAAGTGGCACAAAGGAGAGAGACTTAAATGAAAGGGAGATCAGTGAAAAGTTAGAAGTAGTAACTACCATTCAAATGAAAATATTACTTGAACGCAAATATCATGAATGCAACACTTTGGCTAACCAAAAGTTGGAATTTTTTTTTTACCATAAAGTACTGATCAATCTACCCCACAAAACTTGCTAAAAATGAAAACTATGAGTTTGTCCCAACTTATTAAATACAACATTAAAATAAGGATTAATAGTTTTAGAAAATATCTAGCAACAAAACTCTTTAGTCTAGAAAATAATGGAAAAAAAATTAATTCATAAAAGGAATAAATTTAGCCTTAGGCACAACTTATTCAATCTGCCCGTTTAGTTCTGAATGTCGGCAAGGGTAAAAATGAAAAACAAATGTTAGTTACAGAGGAAAAATTACATAAAAGCGAGGGAAGAAAAAGGAAATAAAATAAAAGAAATAGAAGGAAAAAAATTTAGCAATTGGCTAAAATGAGAGAGAATAATGCATACATGAGGACCCCTTTTTTACCTAGACAAATTTGTCACAAATTAAAGACCGTCTTATTGCAACAACCGAAAAAAAAAAATTAAAAACACCTTCAATTTTGTCAACAAAGGAAAATCCATTATTATGTATACACTAGTGACGGGAAAAACTATCGCAAATGTTGGTCATTCACGGTGAAATTAAGTGCACTTTCATCCCATGAGCCTAGCGACCTGCACACCCGTAAACCCATTAAAAGCATCAAGCAATAACGGTTTAGAAATAACAACTGTATTTTGGAGAGTCACAATGTGTACATTTAAGCACCTATCATATTTCCTAATTTATACTTTGCTAGTTTTCGACCAAAGTAAAAATAAAAAAATATTAAAATAAATCTAAATTACATTGTCTTTCAAGGGATACACATTGCACATATGCAACATGCCTTTAACCCACAAGTTTACTCCTCATAAACGAGTTATAGTTCAAAAGACATTTTTCATGATAAGAAGTTCATCACTATACGCATTTTCCATTTGCATCTAAATAATACAATTCTTTGATGGCAGAGATATTGACGGGTTGAAGCAGACACTGCTGGAAAAACCACATTTAGTGGCGTTTAAAAAATGCCGCTATAGGTGCAACAAACATCGCTAATTCTTTTTGTGACGTTTAGTATCAAACGCCGAAAGCACGGCCGTCGCTATATCTTTATGGCGTTTTAAAAACATCATGATATTTGTTAGATTTGCATAAAAGAAAGAAAAGAAAGAGAGGAAGAAAAGAGAGAGTTGTTGATGTATATTATTCACACACCTAAACATACTCCCCCTCAAGTTGGTGCAAAGATATCTCTCATGCCCAACTTGTGATAAATAGGATGGAAAACCTTACTACTAAGACTCTTAGTAAAGACATCAGCCAATTGATCTGCAGACTTCACAAAAGGCATACATATGAAACCCTTATTCAATTTCTCCTTGATGAAATGTCTGTCGATCTCAATATGCTTTGTTCTATCATGCTAAACAGGATTGTGAGCAATACTAATGGCAGCTTTGTTGTCACAGTACAATGTCAATGGTTCACTACAAACAAACCCAATATCATTCAACAAGAACTGGAGCCACATCAATTCACATGTACCATGTGCCACAGCCCTATATTCTGCCTCTACACTAGATCTGGACACCACTGTTTGTTTCTTACTACGCCATGTCACTGTATTCTGCCTCTACATTAGATCTGGACACAACTATTTGTTTCTTACTACACCATGTCACTAAATTTCCCCCCACAAATGCATAGTAACCGGAGATAGATCGCCTGTCATCTATAGAACCAGCCCAATCAGCATCTGTGAATGCCTCTAATCTCAAGTGACCATGATTGGAAAATAAAATCCCTTTTCCAGGAGCAGATTTAAGATACCTCAAAATACGATACACTGCATCCAAATGAGGGGCACGAGGCTCATGCATAAATTGACTCATTATCCCAACCGCATAGGCAATATCTGGACGAGTGTGGGATAAATATATAAGTCTTCCCACAAGTCGCTGGTACCTTTCCTTCTCCACAAGATCACCAACACCACTACAAAGATGGTGATTAACCTCAATTGGCGAATCAGCAGGTCGGTAGCCTAACATGTCAATTTCCTCAAGAAGATCTAGAATATACTTCCGCTGAGAAAAAAAGATGCCTTTGTCAGATCTGGTAACTTCAATCCCAAGAAAGTACCGCAACGAACCAACACTACATGAAAAAACACTTTTGGCGACTAAATTTTTAGTCGCCAAAAGTCCTCTTTTAGTTGCCAAATGTAGAATTTTCACTTTTCCCGACTAAATATTTTAGTCGCCGCTGTGGTCGCCAATACGTAGTCGCCAATACCTTTGGCGACTAAAGATTAGTTAGTCGGCAATATACAGGTCTTCAGCGACAAAAGTTTTAGTCGCCAATAGTCGATTCCATTTGTGAAATTATACATTTAGCGACTAAAGTTTTAGTCGCCAATAGTGTTTTTTTTTATTATTTATACAATTGGCGACTACTTTTTTCGTCGGCAATTGTCACTCTTTTTGGCGACCACACTATTTTGTCGCCAAAAGCATTTTTCAAAAAAAAAAAAAATTTCCCACTGTGCGCCTCAGCATCTCCCTCCCTCGCTTCGAACCTGCGACCTCCAAGCTCCCAAGCCTTAAGGACACACGCCACCCCACTTTGCCACTCAACCATCACATGAATGTAATTGCAACTTATATTATTTATATATTACTTTCAACATAATATATATAAATATAATTATATATATTCAAATATAATTTATGTAAAAAATAAATTATTTATTAAAAAAAAATTTATCTCACTTTTGGCGACTAAATCTATTATTTAGTCGCCAATTCTACAATTTTAGGCTACTAATTAATTTTGCAGTCGCTAAAAAAAATGTTGCGCCTAAAAACACACCTTTTGGCGACTAAACCTGTTTTTAGTCGCCAAAAACGTCCCCTTTTGGCTACTAAACTGAATTTTAGTCGCCAATACTCAGTTTTTAGCTACTAATTTTTTTTTTGTAGCCAAAAAACTTCACTTTCAGCGACTAATCTCGTTTTAGTCGCCAAAACACCTACAATCGGCGACCAATCTTCTTTTTAGTCGCCAAAACCAGCACCTTTGGCTGCTAAATTGTTTTAGTCGGCAAAAACAATCACTTTTGGCGACGAAAATTGTGTTAGTCGCTGAAACCCATATAATAGGCGACCAAACTGATTTTTAGTCGCCAATACATATACATTTGGCTACTAAATGGTTTTAGTCGCCAAAAGGCTTCATTTTTGGCGACTAAAATGGATTTAGTCCCCATTTGTGCAACTTTCAGCGACGAAATTCATTTTTTTAGTCGCCGTTGGTGCTTTTTGTTGTAGTGCAAGGTCTTTGATCTCAAATTCCTTGGCCAACAGCATCTTAAGATGTGTCACTTCTTCCTCATCATTACCTGTCACAACTATGTCATCCACATACACTATTGGAGAATTTTTTTTTTTGTGTATGAGAAGATAGTTCGATTTTTTTGTGGTTGGATATGATGTTTGTGAGAGAAAAAGTGAAATGATTATGGAATTTGATGTGATATTTTATTTAGATTTGTTTTTTTTGATTTTATAACTAATTTTTTTTTTAGCAAAAAAAAAAACCAAAAAACAAACTTTCCAAACACTTCTAAAATCGGAGTGAGTGGCTTTATGGCTCAATTATTCATCAAAGGAGTTTCATTACTTGGTTAATGATTTTTTTTTTGTTTAGTATTAGGCAGATTGGAGTTTGTATTGGTGGAGGGTTATATTCGGTCTTGCCAATTCAGGTGAGAGTTAAGCGTGTCCGTTCCTGTACTGAGGAATTGATGTTTGAGATCGAATCTCTCCAATGCGGTGTTCAGGTGGCTTTGGCTATGTATATAATTGCTCTTACAGCGGATGTCAACATAGTTAGAATATTTTACATATATATATATATATTTTTTTTATTAACAAAAGTGAATTTTATTAATGAAACTAAGTATGAGATATATAAGACGGGTGTAAAAATAATCATAATCAGACTAAAAACGATCTCAACTAAATTAGTATCAATAAGAGTATCCGCATGAAATTAGCTAAAGTCGTTTTTTAGCTAGTTTGATGATACTATTCATCTACATCAATCTCGCTACAGTAGGTCGTTAATTTACGAGTGCTACAGTAACTCGTTACAACAAGCGGGACACTGTTCATCACTACAATAGTCTTACCGGATGTCTGTCCGGAAGTTCGACCAAACGTTCGGCTAGCCAACCGGTCAACGGCCAATTTTATTTTTTTTTTTTTTTTGGGTTTGGCTAGTAACTTATCAATTTAATAAAAAAAGAAAGACTAACAAACACAATAAGAAAATAATATTTAATAAAAATAAGTTAAAACAAAGAGTATGATGCAATAGATGCTAAAAAATGATTAGCTAAAATAATAAAATAGCTTTAATTTGACAAAAAATTCAAAGAGCTTGGTGTGGATGCTCTAAATAAAGCCTAAAAGTGATGATATAGAGCTCTACTTATGTGGCAAGGCAAAAAAAGAAAGTTAACACAAAATATCACATCACAGTGAAACCCATCACAATTAAAACTCCTTAAAACTCATTTTTTAAAACTCTCAATCATTTTTTATAAGCCTAATCATATGTTAATACTCCTAACACCAGAAGACCACATAGTAAAACAAATAAAACTAAAGACCACATAACAGAAGTAAAATAAATAAAACAGAGAAAGCAGAGCATTCCAACCTCCAGCTAGCAATCAGAGCTTCTTCTTCACGCCAACTGCCAGTGCTGATTTCTGTGTGGTCTAAGGGTAGAGGCTTTTTTTTTTTTTTGAAAAAATTATATTAAATCTCTTAAAATTATCGACCATTTACATTTTATTTTCCTAATAATTTAAACCCAACAATTATCCCTTTTAAATTATTTGAATTTAACCATTAAGTCATTTTCTTAATCATTTGTTACATATTTAAATAAAAAGTTAATAAATATTGTGCATACAATGATGATAATATATTTTATTATTAAATTACCTATTTTAGCCAAAAAAAAACAAGATTATCAAACGGCCCTTAGCTGGCCAGACCGAAAGACATCCAGGTGAAATTTTCAATTTAATAAAAAAAGAAAGACTAACAAACACAATAAGAAAATAATATTTAATAAAAATAAGTTAGAACAAAGAGTTTGATGCAGTAGATGCTAAAAAGTGATTAGCTAAAATAATAAAATAGCTTTAATTTGACAAAAAATTCAAAGAGTTTGGTGTGGATTCTCTAAATAAGCCTAAGAGTGATGATATAGAGCTCTACTTATGTGGCAAGGCAAAAAAAAAAATAAAAATTTAACACAAAACATCACATCACAGTGAAACCCATCACAATTAAAACTCCTTAAAAATCATTTTTTAAAACACTCAATCATTTTTTATAAGCCTAATCATATGTTAATACTCCTAACACCAGAAGACCACATAACAGACGTAAAACAAATAAAACTAAAGACCACATAACAGAAGTAAAATAAATAAAACAGAGAAAGCAGAGCATTCCAACCTCCAGCTAGCAATCAGAGCTTCTTCTTCACGCCAACTGCCAGTGCTGATTTCTGTGTGGTCTAAGGGTAGAGGCTTTTTTTTTTTTTTGAAAAAATTATATTAAATCTCTTAAAATTATCGACCATTTACATTTTATTTTCCTAATAATTTAAACCCAACAATTATCCCTTTTAAATTATTTGAATTTAACCATTAAGTCATTTTCTTAATCATTTGTTACATATTTAAATAAAAAGTTATTAAATATTGTGCATACAATGATGATAATATATTTTATTATTAAATTACCTATTTTAGCCAAAAAACAAGATTATCAAACGGCCCTTAGCTGGCCAGACCGAAAGACATCCAGGTGAAAATTTTCTTCAATCAACTTAGCTGGCCAGTACAATGGGAGAATATGAGAAAAACGTGAGAATTCAAAAAATAATTATAAACTGGCCAGTACAATGGGATTATGAAAAAAACGTGAGAATTGAAAAAATAATTATAAACTTATTATGCAATTGGTTCATAAACTTAGAGTAGTGTGCACAATAGTTCACAATTTTTCATTAAAATATTTAATAGAGAACTAATAAAAAGGTTTAATGTTCAAATTTAAATAATTTGACGGAACCAATTATTGGATTTAAAACATTAAACGGATAAAAGGTATACAGGCTTATTTTGAGAAGTGAGTTACATGTTGAGAAATAGTTTTTAACCCATTTTTCTTTCTCATAAAAAAGTTAAAAAAAAATTAAAAATAACTTTTAATTATCTTTTCAAAATATTCCATAATCAATAGTTTGAGAAAATTTAATATAATTTATCCTCTTTTTTTTTTTCTTTTTCTTTTTTTGGTAGAAGAAAAAGGGATTGCGCAAGCTTTGCGAGTCTCCAGTCCCAAATTAAGATATTACTTCAGACAACGTATAAAGACGCCACATCAAAAAACGATAGAGGATAGTAACCAGATGAAAGCTTTCTTAAATTGATCTCTAACCACTAAACTTCGTAACCATAATTTGTTATGAAATATAAACCTCAGGGGGTAAATTGTTATGAAAATACAAACCTCAGGGGGCGGGATGTAATTTCTAAAACCTCAGGGGGGTATCTGTAATTTAACCAAACCTGGAGGGGTGTATATGTAATTTGCCCTAAGATATTACTTCAGACAACGTATAAAGACGCCACATCAAAAAACAATAGAGGATAGTAACCAGATGAAAGCTTTCTTAAATTGATCTCTAACCACTAAACTTCGTAACCAGATGAAAGCGTTCTTAAAGCCTCATTTGGGAAGATGCCATTTTAGTGATTTTTTTGACTAAAATATGAGATAAAAAAATTAATATATTTGGAATAATTTTTTAATTTTTTACGGAAAGATATGTAAAAAATAGAGAAAAAATGATTTTTTTTTACTTTTTGGTATAAGTTATAAACTTTTTTGACTTATTTAATAATTTTTTGACTTTTTAACTAAAATATTAATTTGCCAAACTAGGCCTAAATCGATCTCTAACCACTAACGCTTCGTTTGGAACGTGAGTTGACTTTTTGACTTTTTTAGTCTGGGCTAAAAAGTTTAGTTTGGGAAGGACTTTTTGACTTTTTAGATTTTTTAACTTTTTCTGTAAGAGAAGTGTGTAATAATTATGTGTTAGATGTGATATTTTGTTTATTGTAACTAAAATAATCTATATTATTTTTTGTGACTATTTTAATCAAAAAAATTCAAAAAGTCACCTCCAAAACAGAGGCTAAACTATCCCCAGGGGCGTAAAGGCTTGTTTTGCCAAACCATAATTGAGATATACTGTGGTGACAATGATGAAACTTCTACCCCAGCTTTTTTGTACTTTGTCCCTTTCTTTTTCTTTAATAAATTGCTTTAATTGCTATAAAATAAATAAAAAAATAATAATTAAAAAAATAAAGAAAATAAAAAAGGTTAAATTATTTTTTGTCATTTTTTTTAATGTTTTGCCACTTTCTTATTTTGGCTCCTAATTTTTTTTTTTACTTTGATTATTCTTGCTTCAAGTTTTTTTCACTTTAATTCTAAAACAATTTACATTAAAAATTAGACAAAAAATGACATTTTGATTGTCACATGGTATAAAAATCTTTTATTAAATATGACTTATATCTCTGACATAAACTTAAATTTCAATATAATATATATATATATATTTATATTATGTGACAATTATTGTGACATTTCTATCTAATTTTGAACAGAAATGAACTTTATGAGTAAACTGAGAAACTGAGAAAAATTTGAAACATAGAAAGCCAAAGTAGGAAAAAAATTAAATGTCAAAATAAAAAAATGACTAAATATAAAGGAGGCAAAGTATAATTGATCATTAAACATATGAACGACCATACCACAGTGAGTATTCCCGAAACATTATGTAAACATTATTTATGCAGTATTTCAAACTAATCATGTAACAAAATTTTTATTAAAACATGATGGCTTATCTATATTTAGTAGTTAGTTAAGTGATAATGGAGGATTTACGGGATCGTTTAAGAACATGATTTTTCAATGGCTTTTGATTTTTTAGTTAAAATATGAGATAAAAAAATATATTTACGATTTTTTTTTAATATGAAAAGATGCATAAATAATGGAATGAATGGAAAGAAATATTTGACTTTTGAGTATTTATTGACTTTTAAATTTTTTTAATAATTTTCTGATTTTTGAATTATTTTTATTAGTTTCCAAATGATTTCTCAGTATTTGTTGTAATTTCTCATTTGTCATGAATTCTACGACTAAGACATGACAACATTCATCTATTAAGTAGATAATGAATTATTATATATATTTTTTATATTATCACTCTCTTTTATAACAAAATTATTACATAAATGACATCACATATACTGTAACCATATCTAATAATTTTGGGACCATTTAAATTTAATGACTGTAAGTTTCACAAAATTCAAATGAGATAAGGCAAAGAATGATGGAGTTAAGGCCACATGCATGCATTGACCGGCTAATAGATTTTTATGTATGAAATTTCAACGCTGATGTAGGCCATCACGTCACGAATGGCCATCCAACACTACTAACACCACCAACACCAACACCAACACCAACACCAACACCAACAGCTACAATGGCTTCCCAAAATAACCACCTTCACTTCGTTTTAGTACCTCTAATGGCCCCAGGCCACTTCATACCCATGATTGACATGGCCAAATTATTGGCACAACACGGTGTGACCGTCACCGTCGTCACCAGCCCTCTCATTGCTTCCAGATTCAACCCAATCATCAACCGTGCAATTGAATCCGGACTCCACCTCCGCCTTCTCTCTCTCCAGTTCCCGTCCGTAGAGGCTGGCCTGCCGGAGGGGTGCGAAACGGCAGACACTCTTCCCTCTATACACCTAATGAGAAATTTCTTCGTTGCCATCTGCCTGTTGCAAGAACCATTCGAGCAGTTGTTTGAAACGATCGAGCCGTCTCCAATTAGTTGCATAATAGCTGACAAAAATATTCCTTGGGTAGCCGACACTGCTCGAAAGTTTCAAATTCCCAGAATTATTTTTGATGGAATGAGTTGCTTCACTCTTTTATCTACACACAATTTACATATTACCAAAGTTCATGAGAGTGTGTCCGAGTCAGAACCGTTCGAGCTCCCGGGCTTGCCTGACAAAATTCAGCTAACAAAATCTCAGTTGCCCCCATCAATCAATCCAGGTTCATTATTGGACGTGCAAGACTTCCGGGTGAAAATACAAGCTGCGGAAGCCGAAGCATATGGGGTTGTGATTAACAGTTTCGAAGAGCTGGAACCGAGATACGTGGACGGGTGTCGAAAGGTGAAACGAGATAAAGTTTGGTGCGTTGGACCTCTATCGTTATGCAATAAAGACAACCTGGACAAGGCTCAAAGAGGAAACAAGCCTGCCATTGACGAAAACCAGTGTTTGAAGTGGCTCGATGAACAAGAGCCAGGATCGGTGGTCTACGCATGCTTTGGAAGCACCGGTCACCTCTCACCTCTTCAATTAATCGAGCTGGGTTTAAGCTTGGAAGCATCAAAACGCCCATTTGTGTGGGTCATAAGAGGCGGAGCCAAAGCAGCAGAGATAGAGAAGTGGGTGGAAGAAGATGGATTCGAGGAAAGAGTAAAAGGGAAAGGCCTTGTGATCCGAGGGTGGGCACCGCAAGTACTCATATTGTCTCACCCAGCTGTGGGGGCATTTTTGACACACTGTGGGTGGAATTCGACATTGGAAGGGGTTTGTGCGGGTGTGCCAATGATAACTTGGCCCATGTTCGCAGAGCAATTTTTTAATGAGAAGCTGATTGTACAGGTTTTGGAGACCGGAGTGAGTGTTGGGGCTCAGGCAATTGGGCACATGTTTGGGGAAGACAAGTGTACGGTGCTGGTGAAGAAAGAGGTAGTTAGGGAAGCCGTGGAGGAAGTAATGGGTGAAGGAATAGAAGGGGAAGAGAGAAGGAGAAGAGCGAGAGTGCTTGGGGAGATGGCAAAAAAGGCAATGGAAGAGGGGGGTTCTTCGTACTTGAATGTGAGATTGTTGATTCAAGATGTCATCAAACAAGTTAACCACAAGGAATCAATTGAAGAAGACGGTGCGTGTGGGTCTTAAAAGTTGATGAGCAAAAGCGATGTTATGGAGTTAAGATTTTACAAATGGAGTTAAGATTCAAGCGATGTTAGCTGATCAAAAAAAAATGGAGTTAAGATTTTAGATTTTTTTTTTTTGTGTTGAAATTCTTTATTATTTTTCTTGTTGAATTATGAATTGGAAGTTTGAACTGTAGTTCAATGAGAAAGTATTCGGGCCATATGCAACTGTGGAGCTTGTTCATATGCATTGATTGGGTCTGCTGCATTTTGCGGAGAGGTGATTGAAGATTGAGAGGTGACTATGAGTAGTTTCAGAGTACATACACGCGAGAGAAAATGGATTTGAAGTTGCAATGACAAAAGCGATAAATTTTAATTTGCTCTAAGTAAATTCAAATGGTAGTCCAACATGGTTAAAATATTGAGTCCTACCATTTTTTTGTCTCCTATAAAGAGGCAATGTGATACATGTGATGATTTATGTAATGTGAACACTGCTTATATTTGTAGAGTGAAGTGTGATTGAAGAGAGAGAATTGAATAAAAAAAAAGAGAGATGATAAAATTGAATATAAAAAAAAAACTCTTCTGCATGTATAAATTTGAACAAGTGCCTATTTTTTGTTTAAATATTTTTTAATCATAAAATATCTAATATTATCATAAAAATATGTAATTTTATTTCTTAATCATAAATTATCATAATTATTAATAGAAAAATATGTAATATTTATTACAAAATACATAATATATATAAAAAAATATGTAACAAGCTGTACATTGTACACACTCTATAAACACTATAAGAAATTACATTTTTCGCAACGCAACAAAATATATTGCTAAAAGGAAAAACTCGTTAGCAAAAGGTTTCGCAACACAGAGCCATGTTGGTAACCTGTAGGTAAAAGTGAGTCGACAAAAGTTTTTACCGACGCAATTATCATTGCGCTGGTAAAAGTAATGCCTTTAGCGACGAACATAGTTGTCGATAAAAGCCTTCATCCATCGTTGACAATTTACTTTGTGTCGGTAAAAGTAGTTCAAATATGATGATTGTGTGACACTTTTCCTGACACAAACTTGCATGGGCAAAAAATATACTTTTAGCAATAAAATATGAGTCGGCAAAAGTAAAATTTTGGCGACCCATTTACGTCGGTAAATGTTACCATTTGCGAATGATTTGTTTGTCGATAAAGTTTTGCTTTTGGTAATGACAAATTAGCATTGGCAAAAAATACATTTCTAGAAACACAATATGAGTGGGCAAAAGTTAACTTTTGGCAACACATTTACATCGATAAATGTTGCCATTTGCCGACGATTGTTTGCCGATAAAAAATTACTTTTGGCAACGATAAATTGGCATTGGCAAAAAATACACTTCTAGCAACGCAATATGAGTGGGCAAAAATAAACTTTTGGCAATACATTTACCAACAAGTTTGTAGAGAAAGTTTTACTATTTGGCAATGACAAATTTGCAGCGGCAAAAATAATTGAAAATAATTCTTATTTTTTTTATCAAATTTACAGATTTACAAGAGGCATCCCTCAGGTATCACTATTACAAACTAATGACATTGATATGAAATCACCTAAAGTTGATGTGCAAGCAAAAAAACACTGCTGATACTGCTTTTAGAAGCATTGTATAAAACCTAAAATGGTAAACTCACTAAAATACCCAAATACTTCCAAATTGTGAACCCACAGTAACAAAATGAAAATATGAAACTAACAAAGATAAGCAAAACGGCACGACAATCACCCACAAACTTATGTAGCAGACCAACATTTAGTAGTAGCCGTCTCACAGCAACATTTTAGCAATAGTTGCCTAGCAAGCATCAGCCACCAGGGTAGTAGCAGCAGCAACAGCAGCAATAACAAACCAGTAGCAGCAGCATACCAGCCACTAGCAAAAATGAGGATCTAATAGCAGCCTCTATTAATCAATGACAACTTTAAAACAAAGCCCAATTAGCTTTTTTTTCCCTCTCTAAATTACGTACATGAGTTTCCTTCAACCGGTCACCAGTATATCCACTCTTAGAGATACGCTCACTACAAGCAAGGTCAATAAGATTTAGGACACCTTGTACTTGTTCAGTGCTCTGAAAAATGAGAGAAGAAAAACAGTTAATCATTGACTGGCATATTTGTGCGTGTGTGTGTGTGTGTGAGTTAATAGATATGCAAGTGCAAGTACTGGCCAAAACATTTTGTCTTATTTAGGAAGTAATCAATAGATGCATAAGTGATCTATAGAAGGAGCAACAATTGCAAAAATTATAACTAGACGGGGCCATACTTGATAATAAAGTTATAATTATTTCTTTCATAGCAACTGTATCGTACATAACTATATTAAAAGTTACATTTTTTTTTTTTTTTTTGATCCACCAAAAAACTTTATTGATGAGAAAAACCTTTCACTAGAATGAATTACTAATATGCTTCAGACAAACATATTTCTCAAAAAGTTCCAGTAGGAGGGGTCGAACACCAACAAAATAAATAATTTGACTTCAAGTAGTTAAGTTAGTTTACCATAGTCATTGAGCATGGTTCATCTAACATAAGAAAGAACAAGACTAAAATTAGTTGAAAACTTCAAAATATATATATATATATATATATGAACAAAGTTACAGTATAAATAGATTTTTTTTTTTTTTTAAAAAAAAGGAAGATCACTTATACAGTAGTTGTGGAAATTGATATAAAAATCGAGTGTAAAACGAAATCGCATTGTTTTGAGCTATCAACTGAAGAAAGCAAGTCCAACGGTTACAATAAAGACCAAAAAAGACAGCCACACTACAGGAAAAAAGGGTTACGGTGGCGTTTTTTTAATGACGTTTTTTTGAACGTCACTGTTATTAACATTTAACGGCGTTTTTATAAACGCCGCATATTCTTTTAACCAAAACGGCGCCGTTTTATAATAGGAGGCGTTGAAAAACGCCTCCGAATGCGGTGTACCACACGCTCCTTCTCAATCCTTATTTTGTATCTGGCCCTCTCTCAACCCATACGCATACATCATTTTATCTGAGCCCCCTCTCTCTCTCTCTCTCAACCCTCTCTAAGCTCCATCGAAGCAATTTCGAAGCTCCAACGAAGCTCTAGATCGAACCGATTTTGAAGCTCCGTTGAAGATTCAGTGATTTCCAGCGAAGATTCAGATATTCGAAGCTCCATCGAAGCAATTTCGAAGCTCCATCGAAGCTCCAGATCCAACCGATTTCGAAGCTCCATCGAAGCTTACAGAGCGAGACCACTTCATCATTCTTGGCTGTGATGGCCTGTGGGGGGTATATCATCTGTCCACTATCTCTTTTGCCTTCATTTTAAAACTATTTTGACTTTGTTTTGTGCTCCAAATGTCATGATGATGCCTTCTTTGGTGAAACAGATGCAATGCCTGGAGGAGAGTGCTGAATCCCCGAGGGAAAGAAGTTTAAAATTTTACAAAGGATGTCGGAAATACACGTGAGTACATTTTTAATCTTGTCTCTGAACTTTTGCCTGATTTACGAATTCAACTTTTCTTTCATATTTTTTAACTTTTTCTTGCAATTGCCGTATATCTTTGAATTTCGATTATATTTGATTTTATTTATGTATTCAATCATTCATTTGCATAAATTTGATATGTTGTTGCTTCAATTTGATTAGGCACCATTAATTGAACTTCAATTTATAGCTGTTCCCTATGTTAAGATGTTAATGTCATCTAATTTTCAACCATAACTCTGTTTTCAGGATAATATGCTTCAATAAGTTGGTGTTCTTTTTCCCCGGATGTTCTTAACTTTTTAATATCTTTGTTTTGATGAACAATTTTGGTTTGAAAAAGAAGTGAAACATATTAGATAGGAATGAAATTGAGAGAATGAACAAAGTTTACATTAGCAAAAATCTAATTTTCTTGTTATCCCTGTGATCTTGTCCTTGGCTAGAAATTCTGCATTATGTTGTTATTGATTTTCAAGGGAAAGATATATTGATTCTGCACAAACTTTTGTTAGTTGGATGAGTTTGGCTCCTTTGCCTTCCAAAGAAAGTGAAGAGTTATTGATAGGTTGTTGATTTGGGTCGTTTATGACCATCATACAGAAACCAATTCAAACTAAGCCTTATGTCCCAATTTCAGCTTGTTGAAGCTATGTTTGTGTAGTATGCACAAACTTTATCAAAACACTCTAAACAAAGTAACCTGCAGTGTTTGTTATAGGCTCCCAAATGGACTCGGGATACATATATATTATATTGCTCTGTAGGATTCTTAGACACCATTTAATGGCCAGGACATTTGACTTTCTGTCATGTCCTATAATTTATTGGCCTACTCATTAATCAAGGTGTTTCACATCCCCAAATTTCTTTTCACTTTCTATATTTCAATGTGATTTTATCATGGAAACTATCTTGATGATGCTATATTTGGTTACAGTATCCTGTGTATTTTGCTTTTGAGGATGACGATATCAATGTTGTGTTAGCTGATGTCAAGAAGAATGATGTTACTGGTCAGCCTGCTACTGCAACCACTGGAGGGTTAGTTGATTATAGTCAGCATGTTTTGAGTCATTTAAAACTAAGATCTTCTAGATGTTTAACCTCAGAGCACTTTATGATTATTTTGATTCCCCAAATTTGGTTCTCTTGTGTCATATGTTACATAATGTCAGACAGATATTTAGTGTTTTCACTAGTAATGGCTGTAATGAAACAAATAACTGAGGAATTGGCTTTGTTCCATTAATAGTGGGGGCAACCAAAACCTTTATGGTGAGAGTATATCATTTTCCTGACATGATGTTCCATTTAAGCAGGGGCAACACCTACTTTTATTGTAAGAGTGATTCATTTAGTAACCTAAAAGATGAGGCAAAGGGGATGGTAGCCTAGTTTCTCAATTTTGACATTCCAGAGAGAAAGAAAATGGCTTCTTTTATGCTCTCTACAGTTTCAATCTACTGGTTGGTTAAGATTCTTCAGGTCCTTATGCCTTTAGTATGATCAAGATGAAACTCCTAAAAGTAAAGGGCCATATTCTTGGCAAAATCTATTCTTTCGGGGGAGACTCTTGTTTTGTCTATCTAATCTTTTGATTACAATTTCCTCCCATACATAGCACGCAAGTTGAATATCACATATATCAGAAGATGTTCAATACATACAAGCTACATTATTGGTAAAAACACACTCTATCTGATCGCAACTTATACATGGGATGATCATCATGTGCAATTGCCTTGATATTTGGTGAAATATAACTCTCTAGAAGTAAATTCTAAAATTGGTAGCCTGATTGTTTAAACTTTTTTCTATCACAGTTTCTACTGTAGAAACATATTCCTGCATGAAGAGCTTTAAATAGCAGCTGTTTTACTAACACACTCAGCTATGTTATGCCTATCTTATTATTATTTGTATTGCAGCTGCTGCCGTGGCCCACCACTGTCGTTATTCGTGTTTAAAATGCTTCAATCCATATTATATTTGTATGACTAGTTTTACTATTACTCCATTTTAATGCAGGTGAGTCTTTTTAACCGTTGCCATCATTGTTGTCATTTGTTTTACTGATATTATTGTGTAACTCTTGGGTTTTTTGTTATCAGTAATGCTCTTACTATAACTTCTACTACTTGGCAAATATGATCAGTGATTCACTAATTAATGTTGTGTTTCACACCAATCACAGTTTTTAAAGATTGTCTAGGTATAGTAATTTTCAACTTTTTATATGAAAAGAATTAAAAGATTAACAACCTAATTATTGTTTCCAAAATAATTTATGTTTACAAAATCGGATTATCAAAGCACTATTTTGGATTTTTAGTTGTCCTTTATCGGTTTTATACCCTTGTTGACTTCAAATTTTAAAGTAAGGTTTGCCCATGAATGTAATGCTTGTTCCACCCGAAGGAGCTGCTGTTTAACTATCAACAGCCACCTCTGCCAGTGCCTCCGGCTGGCTAGTCAATGCAACATTTTTATCCTCCCAGCCCACGCTTCCACCTGAAGGAACTGCTGTTTAAGTTTAACTATCAACCCCGTCTCTGTTCTATTAACTCATGGTATTTGTGTAGTAAAGTTTATTTATAACTTTTTGCATCATCATTAACAATTGGATTATCTTTATCATCATTATTTGTTCAACATGCCTTAAGAGATTAGAATTTGACTATGTTGACAATGCTATTGCCATGTGAAATTCTTTGTAAAGTACTAAATACAAAAACAGCTTGTAAGGCGTGGAAATGCTGTTAAGAAAATGAATTTGGGAAGCTTTAGAACAGCAAGGTTATATTAAACTTATCCACTTATATTTTTTTCAGGCTGTTCAACGGATATTTCATCTTAGGGAGTACAATGGGAGTATTTCATTTGTGCCCGCTCCCGGCTTTGAAGCTCATGGAGAGCCAAGTGAACAGAAAGGTGAATTCATGGGCAAAGACATCTGCAATCCAAGCCATGATGAGTCTAGTAAGATTCAGAAGTGTGGCTACCAAGGTCCCCGTGATGACTCAGAGAACTTAAATTGGAGGAAGATTAATGGTCCATTTGTATCAGTCTGGCTCCATAACGTACCATGGGGTGCTGAAAACACCAAGGCAGCACCTGATGCCAAGGTTTTTTTTTTTTTTTCTTCTTCCTTTCTATTTTTTGTTGTTTTCGGTGTCTTCCTCTCTGTTGCTTTTCTTACTTTTTCAACCACCAATATTCAGTATATGATTTTCATGCTGATCATCAGAAATTATAGTTGAAATGACCTGTGTTTATCTTTCTCTTTCTTTCTTTTAAAACAGGCCTTACCTGTGGTTTGAGATAAGTTGCTAATACCTTAGAAGTTGCAGCAGAAGTAGGTTCTAGGCTGTAAAATGCTGGAGCTGTCTGTTTACTATGAAATCTCTGGGAATACATATATATATATATATATATATTTCTATGATGTATGTTATCATTGTTCTAGCACATCATAAGTATGCATTTGGAACAAATTAACTGTGTATTCATCCAACAAAATAAAGAATAATATAGTGATGTAGCGTATTCCAAATAGTGCGGAAATTTATGTGCTATTATTTGAGAAAATATACATTTGCCAAATACGCACTTAGAAATTATTCTATTGGTCATTGGAAGCCATTCTTCCATCAAGTTACTTCCTTGCTCACGGTTGCTGGTATTATTATTGCATGTTTGACATTTGGCACTAGTAGAATTCATTTTTTCGTGAGGTTAATTGGCATCCATGCTCAAACTTGATGATTTTAATATCATTTGGACTTAGGGCTGGCTTGGATCTGTAGTTTTCTTTCATCTCGGACTACATTCTTCAGTGTAGTATTTGTAACAATTTTTGGCTGGAAAAATTGGGGAAAAAAAGATTGGTTGATTTGTGGTGAAACTGGCAATGAAACAAAATGTTACGATGTTTGTTTACTTTAACTCGATTGAGTTTGAGATTTGCAGAGTAAGAAGTTTGGCTACTGTTGGTGCATTTTAAGATCATCAAACGTCTTTAATTAAGTCCCTCTTGAAGCCAAATGTATTGTGTGCACAATTATTGATCCTCGTGTTCAATGAGCTGCCTTAACTAGGACTTCATGTTCTTGCATCTGGATCTGAAAATGCTTACTCTTTATATGCCTTTGGCAGCCTCTTCTCTGCCATGAGTACTGAGGCCTAAGATTTCTATTAAACATTTCAAGATTTTCTTATTTGTGGGCATATTTGACTTCTGTATTCTTTTTGCTGGTTGATGTGCAGTTCTCAGATGGATATTTGGACTTGATTATCATTAGGAGTTGCCCAAAGTGTGCGTTGCTATCGTTGATGACTGAACTCAATAATGGAAATCATGTCAAATCACCACATGTCTTGTACCTAAAGGTGAGTTCATGGTATTAGTAATTGCCAATTTAGCCTGGTTGCTGTAAATATTATTTCCTTCATGTACCGTTAAATTTAATTTTTGAAAGAGTTCTCCAAGATCTTTTAACTTGTGGAGGGGGAATTGTCCTATAATCCTCTGCTATTGTTTCACTCATGTTTCTCTTCTTTTTGTGTTGTATGTATACATATGCTTATGTGAATGTAATTTTAGTTTTCCAATTCTCTACAGGCTGGTAAATATGTGTGGTTAACTTATGAAGTAGTTATATGAAATAGTATTGAAGGTTGGAGCTTCCATCCGTAGTTGTGGTATCAAGCAAGTAAGTTTATACACAGTGGGGCCTCTTCTGATAAACTATACAAAACAACTTCTGAACTTGCTGGGAAGGGATTTGCATATGATGGAGAAAAAAGTTTATACACAGTGGGGCCTCTTCCGCAAAACAACTTCAAGTTCACAGTGGTGCTTGAGGAGTCATTTGCAAAACGGTATGTCATTTATTTGTATTATTAAATTTTTTCTTCTTTCTTATATTTTGTTTGTAGATTAGAATGTGTTGTTCAAAATTCCAATACTTATGTTGCATTCTTCCTTATCTGGTTGTGGTAGTGGGAGTCCTCATGGTGGGAGCCTTAGTGAGTCTGGTAAAAGGTCAAAGCGTTCCTTTCAGTCAAAACTTTCAAGGTAGAACTCAGTTATGCTGCAAAAATGCCCCTGAAGTCCATTTCTCTTGTACTCCAAGGATCTGAGCCTGAAAATATTCAAGACACATTGAGAGTGCTTGACATTATATTGGGGCAGCAAGCAGCTAACAGGTATTTTTAGAACTCAGTCAGGGGTTGCACTTTAGCTGTTAGTTGCTCATTGTCAATGCTGCTTACAATTCTTTGTATAGATATATCTACAACTATGATCTTAACACCTGGACCTGTGATTGATTTTCTGCTAGCCAACCAGAATGCATGGGACCCTCGTAATATTGACTGGGCAAAGGTAGTAAAATGTTAACTGCGTCTTATTTTTCATTTGTGTTTGGTTATGTTCTGTGTATTGAAATTGTAATTTTTTGAATGGGCAGGCTAAGAGAATGCTAAAAAATATGAGGGTTAAGACAAGGCATAGAAACTTGGAATTTAAGATCACAGGCTTGAGTGAAAGCCTTGCAATCAGCAATTGTAGGTGCTTGTAAACTGTAAGGAACTCCTCCTATTGATATATTCCAGTTGAGCACTTCTGATGTTTTATTGTGTCTCCTAGTTTTCCTTTGAAAGTGAATAATGGTGATGGTGGACATGATGGAGGGCAGACTCTGGAGATTACTGTGTATGAGTATTTCACCAAGCACCATAACATTGAACTTACTAATTCAGAGTACATGCCATGCATTGATGTTGGAAAACCAGAACGGCCTAACTATCTTCCGCTGGAGGTACGCAAAATTTGATAGTGTTTGAGCCATGTCTCCTCCCCACCTGTTTCTGGTTTACTTTCTCCCAGCACCCTTCTATGCTTCTGCAAAATATTCTGATGTTGTTTCCTTCCCTGCATTCCAGCTTTGTACCCTTGTCTCTCTTCAACGCTACACGAAGGCATTATCTTCAATGCAGAGAGCACCTTTAGTTGAAAAGTCGAGGTAAAAACCTCCGGAATGAATACGAGTTGTGACTGATGTAAATTCTCTTTGCCATCTCAATGTATATGTTCTTAGTTTTAATGTTGGAACCTTCATGCTCAATTAATTTGGCAGGCTGTGAGAAACTATCATTATGATGATGACCCTCTTCTTGTTGCTTTGCGGCATTTCAATAGACGGTCACCAGTATATCCACTCTTAGAGATACGCTCACTACAAGCAAGGTCAATAAGATTTAGGACACCTTGTACTTGTTCAGTGCTCTGAAAAATGAGAGAAGAAAAACAGTTAATCATTGACTGGCATATTTGTGCGTGTGTGTGTGTGTGTGAGTTAATAGATATGCAAGTGCAAGTACTGGCCAAAACATTTTGTCTTATTTAGGAAGTAATCAATAGATGCATAAGTGATCTATAGAAGGAGCAACAATTGCAAAAATTATAACTAGACGGGGCCATACTTGATAATAAAGTTATAATTATTTCTTTCATAGCAACTGTATCGTACATAACTATATTAAAAGTTACATTTTTTTTTTTTTTTATCCACCAAAAAACTTTATTGATGAGAAAAACCTTTCACTAGAATGAATTACTAATATGCTTCAGACAAACATATTTCTCAAAAAGTTCCAGTAGGAGGGGTCGAACACCAACAAAATAAATAATTTGACTTCAAGTAGTTAAGTTAGTTTACCATAGTCATTGAGCATGGTTCATCTAACATAAGAAAGAACAAGACTAAAATTAGTTGAAAACTTCAAAATATATCAGAGATACGACGGCGTTTTAAAAACGTCACTAAATAGCATGGTGACGTCATGTTACCGTTAGTAGAACTTTTAGCGGCGTTTTTAGAAAACGCCGCCTATTGTCATATAGCGACGTTGTAAAGCGCGACAGAGTTATAGCGACGGCCGCATCTTCGGCGTTTGGTGTTAAACGTCACAAAAAGATTTAACGGCGTTTTTAGGATCTTTTGCGGCGTTTTTTAAACGCCTCTAAAACCTGAATTTCCAGCAGTGCCAGTTTCCAATAATTGTTAATAATGCCACTACACAGATGCCATCGCATCATGATCTACAAAGATCACAAGCCTTTTGCATCAAACAACATAGCTGTCCTCCCATAGAAGCTATATTGTCACTTAAAACTAGCAGCTTTTTAAGTGAAGATATCAATCCGGAGATTAGCATCCTCTGTAATATATTTCATGTGTGCTTCCTCTACAACTTCTGGGAGATGCATAACTTACAGATTTTATTAAATCAAACCCCTTCTAACATAACCAGATAGAACAAAACAACCATAAGAGAACAACAAATCAACAATACTTTACTCAAGTTTGTATCCCATCCTCAAGCATAGCCATTTATTATTTTTCAGCCATCAGTTGGAGCTAAACAACCATGTCACGCAAATGAGTCATTTTAATAAACCATGTAAATTTGTTATTCATCATCAAACATAGTTGTTTTTTTTGATAACCGAGTATCCGGGTCAGCACCCCTTCGGAGTGACGCACCTCGAAAACATAGTTGTTTTAATATCCGTCAAATTATAAAAAGACAGTGTTTGGTAGTTTTTTGAAAATTGAGTTTTTTGATTTTCGTATTTTTTTTGTTTTAGTGAATATTTTTAAAATTTGAAACATATTTTTTTTAATTTTTTTAGATGCACCTTACTCAGATGTATCTAAAAAGCAAAAAAAATTGTGAAAAAATATTTTTAAAAATTAATAAATACATAAAAATACAAAAAAAAAATGTACTGAATTCTCGTATTTTTTTTTTGTATTTTTGGTATTTAGTAAATTTTTAAAAAGTTTTTTTCAATTTTTTTTTTACTTTTTAGGTATATTTATGTTAGGTATGTCTAAAAATTAAAAAAATTGCTCAAAATATTAAAAAAATTCAGTAAAAACAAAAAAAAAACATGAAAAAATAAAAAAGTAAAATTTTCTGAATAGTGTTTTTGAAAAATGATAACCAAGGGTATTTAGAGCTCACTTGAAATATAATACAATCAAAAATGATTTAGACCTCTAAAAAGAGAGCTTTAATGGAGCACTAATTTGTCTTCTTCCTCTCTATTTTTTGTCTTTTACTTCACTTTTTTTTTTTTTTTTTTTTTTTTTTTTTTTTTTAAGGGGACTTTTTAATTTTTTTAGATGCACCTTACTCAGATGTATCTAAAAAGCAAAAAAAATTGTGAAAAAATATTTTTAAAAATTAATAAATACATAAAAATACAATATTTTTTTTTTTTGAATTCTCGTATTTTTTTTTTGTATTTTTGGTATTTAGTAAATTTTTAAAAAGTTTTTTCAATTTTTTTTTTTTTAATTTTTAGGTATATTTATGTTAGGTATGTCTAAAAATTAAAAAAATTGCTCAAAATATTAAAAAAATTCAGTAAAAACAAAAACAAAAACATGAAAAAATAAAAAAGTAAAATTTTCTGAAAAGTGTTTTTGAAAAATGATAACCAAGGGTATTTAGAGCTTACTTGAAATATAATACAATCAAAAATGATTTAGACCTCTAAAAAGAGAGCTTTAATGGAGCACTAATTTGTCTTCTTCCTCTCTATTTTTTGTCTTTTACTTCACTTTTTTTTTTTTTTTTTTTTTTTTTTTTTTTTTTTTAAGTGGACAGCTCATTAGAGCTGCACTGTAGCAGCTCTAATTAGAGCTCTACAGCACTTCTGTAATACAATTTATCCCTATCTTGTCATAGTTTTTGTAGTAGACAAGGCAATTTTATTTGAATCAGCTTTGATAAAAGGGTTATTGAAATTAAAATTGTGCACGCAAACACAACCAAGGAGCAAATCATTGTCATGCAAATAAGCATTTCCATGATCCACTTTAGCTTACATATTTATCGTGGAACCTCTTGTTTTGAGAATATAACAATCTCCTGTATATAAAATGGCTAGTGAAGACAAGAAAGTAAAGGGTTCTGATAACAACTTTAGGTGCAAAGTTTTGGAACCAAGTACCTTTAATCGATTAAGAGCACTTTTCCAGTATATACTGAATCCTTCATACGAAATGGGAAAGAAGGTATGTATCATGAGAATGATAAGAGTTACACCTTGCATAAGAAATAGAAAATCACATAATTTTAACAATAATAATAACATAATAATCAAACCAAGCCTTGTGTCCAACTCGATTAGGGCAGCTATATGGATCCATTTTTGCCATTCCATTCCATATAGGACTATATATTCAATTAAATTAAATAAATTCACATCCATCATAGTGAAACCGCCCAATTCCAACTAGGTTGGCACTTGTAGACACCCCATTTTTACTCTGTATCTGGCAAAGCAGTCCATGTTTGGCACTTCTTTCAAAAATCAGTTTTCCTAAAACGATTTGCCGGATTTG